TTTCCAGCTAAAAAATATGTGTTTTGAACACAGCAGGACCAACTCTGAGTGAGGAGGGACAGGTACCAGCAGGGCAGGCAGATGCTGAGATGGCACCTGGCTCTGCTCAGGGGCACTGCCTGTCCTGAGGCCCCTCCACACACGAATTCATGCACACACTGACTAAATCTGCCTTTCTGTCTATTAACATTTCCCAATTATTCACAACTTTGTTATGTAAAAATCTGTCACACTGGAAAAAAAAGAAAAATCAGTTTGTTCATGAACTACTCCAAGTGGCTGAAGCTTCCACAGTCTGTTCTTTTAAAAAAAGCTCTTTTTTCCCCCCTAAATTTGAACAAGGTTATCAGTCTGCTTCTAGGGAAACCTCAAAGAGACAACACAGAAAGAGTGATTAAAGATACCAAATTAAAGAGACTGCTGCTCAGAAAGGCTATACATGTATAAATAATCCCAAGGGATCCCACTCAAAAGATACATCTGGAGGCAAAAGAGAACCTGATAACCATGCAAGAAACAGAAAGGTTGTGCTGTGCAGAGAAATGAAGGGTCACATTAAATAGACGGGGTGACAGGGGGATTGAGGGAAAAGGGGAAATCAAAGTGGGAATCAGCTCAAAAAGGAAAATATTTTTTATATATATATATATATATAAATAAAGACATAAAGAAATATTGAAATAAATAAATAAAAGGGCTACTCTGAAGGAGGATAAGCAGGAGGAAATCAAAGGAGTGCTCTCCACGAAAGGAGATGAAGGAATGAAAAGGAGAGCAGACATCAAAGCAGGATCATCTTCCAGGAGAGGGAGAGGTGACTGGAATAGCAACGCCAGTGGCACAAGGGCTTGGAACTTCAGCCTTTTACAAAACCCAGGGCTAAATCATTAACTGCTGCACAAACAAGAAAATATTATCCCCTTCCCGAGGTGTAACTATTTGTTATTAGGACGGTTCCACCAGCTCTCCCCGGTTTTATTTGCTGGAGAGGGTGGTTATTTCACCATTTATCTTCCTTTTCTTTGCAGTAGCACAGAATTGCACTGACACTGTCCCTGGGGCCAGACAAATCCCAGATCCCACCCCAGGATTCATCTGCAGGACTGCTGGAGCAGCAAGTCCCTGATCAACAGCATCTCTGACTGACACCTAAAAGCATTTCCTCAGTACAAAACAAAGGGCACGGAAAAGGACAGTGCTCCAAGAATTCCTACAGCTCAGGTTGTGAGTTCCCAACAAGATATAGACCTGTAGTACGTAATTTATTATATAATTATATATAAACCCACATTTGGTGCAGACAGTGCTGAGCCATGGAAAGGTTCTGCAGGCAGAGGTAACCGAGGGATAAACAAATCCCAGGGGCAGGAAGAAAGGGGCTGACACACACTGTTCATCCAGCACCACTTCAGTGCTGGCTTTGGCAGCAAACACAGCTCCTCTTATCAGCACAGATACCTTTGAAGTGGCTGCCAGGCTTCCATCCAACACTCAAACAACCGGGACCCTCCACGTCGTCACACAGCCCTGGAGAGGGATCCCATCACAACACACGGACAGCAGCACTGGGAGATACAGCCACAGACTGTGCAGGCTCCCCAGGACACCCAAACACTGCCAACACAAACCCTTTGAAAGCCTGTGTGCAGTGCAGGCACCACGGCCGGAATTTGGGAGGTTCGATCATTTTAAGGCAGAGCCACCCAAGCTCTGCTGTGCCCTCTGCAGAACGAGCACATGAGAACCTCAGCCTGAGGATTCTCCATCCCAGCCACTGCAAGAGTCAAACCCCACATTGCCACCACTGCTGATGTTCTTCTGGACGGGGAGAAGGGCCCGGTGTTCCCACCTCAAGCTCTGTGCTGCTCCAGCTCCCACCAGCATCCCTGCTGCCTTTCCTTCCCAGCACAGACCTTATCACACCCACCCAGGCCCTTTGCTGCCTTCAGGTTGGATTACAAGCTGCACACTGCACTCAGATCCCCTTTGAAAAAGCTCTCCACTTCACACAGGGTGAGATTCAGCAGCTCAAGGGTTGAGCAACAAAAGGCACCTCGAGCACATCCTTTTTTTCCCTGCCTGTCCTTCCCAGCTCACCTGCTCCCCCCCAGCATGACACAGAACACTGATTCGAGGAAGCCTTATATTATAAGCAGCCCAAGAAAAGGATCTTATGCCCCAGGATTTGATTTCCACTGCCCTCAGCAGAGGAGGATCTCTGTACCGCTCTCCTCTCCATGTTTCACAGCATTATTTACAACCCACTGAATAGTTCCCAAATATAAGCTACCAGAGCACCTGCAACCAGCCAGGCACGCGTGCAACTCTTTTGGAAGCTGAAGAACATTCCTCAGACTTTAAAATAATGAAGTATCCTTGTTTTTAAGAGAGGAGATGGTGTAGAACCAGTGAATGGGCTGGAACGACTGCCTGGCACAGGAGAGGCAGGAAACTCCGGTCTCAGAAGCAACACAGCCAGTTATTTCACTGCCATGGCCTGGCTAATTAGGTCTGTGGAGAAGCCACATAAATTTTCTGAGCTGCAGCAGCACACTCATCCAGCTCTGCCCCTGGAACTCGTTCTCATTTGGGTTTTGATTAGGACCTCCAAACCTGCCTTCCCCAGCTCCGTGGGAGGGTTTGCAGCACGGCATTATTTTCCATTATTTTCCATGCAGCTCCTGTATAAACTCCACCTGCTTCAAGGCAGATAAAAAGAGCTCAGCTTTCCGAGCTGTCACACACCACGCAGCAGCTCTTTTCCACTGAAAAATAGGAAAGGATGCCTCAAATTTTAAAAAAAAAGGATGGGAGATCCCAAGGGGAGAGGGAAGAGAACTAGTATGGTTTCAACCTCTGGGCAGAGGCACAAAAATGCATGTCATGCCTAAATATCTTGCCAAGTCACTGAATAATTCCCCATCAATACCTACAAACACTGATTAGAAAGGCAGCCTGAGTGAAAAATCCTGACTTGATCCACTTGTTCCTGTTTTTTTCATCCAGGAAAAGGTAGGAAAGGTACCACTTGTCTGCTTACGGTCCAGAGATGTTCTGACAACTGTGCTGCTTTTGGGATATTTTGCAAACATGCTGCAGAGGGGTTTCATAAACGGGTAACATTTCTTTAAATCCGTGGATTACAAAGCTGATTTGCAGTATTTTAACCACACACCTCATCTGTTTTCCAGCCTGCAGTACCTTCTGTAGCAGTTCCCGCTGCTTCTCGCAGCTCAGGAAGGGAAGAGATTCCAGTGAAAAAGCACAAGCAGCAGCAGATCCAAGTTCAGCAAAGTTTCTCTATTTATCAGCTGCTACCAGATAAGAGAGAATGCAATTTTTGTTCTTAACCACCCAGCACAAGTGGAATAGTAATCAAATACCTGCTTTGGCCTTCAGCCAATGTGATATTTCTGGCAAACAGTCAGGCAACAAGTAGTTGGGATTTATTAACAAGTGCCTTTTGTTTGCTCAGATTATAATATGGAGTTTGCCCTTAGTCTGTGAGAAAGAAACCAGAGGGCTATTTTGCTGCTGATCAGTTATTTATTTGTTTTTATTCAAGTCCTGCAGCCCAAAATAAAGCATCGCCACGGGTTTGCCCTGTTTTCTAAAGGGGCTGCAAATGAAGATGCCAGTTCCCAGCCAAACTGGGATAATATCAATTTCCATATACCACTTTGCCAAGGCCACTTTGCTCAAGCACAGCCCTTGTTGAAATTCAGTGGGGAGATTACTTCTCCTTTGGAGGGATTAGAGGAATTGAAGAGTAACTGCCATTCAATAATCCTGTGTAAGTATCTAATCAACCATAATGTAATTACCAGAAAGTTTTAAAAGGTCAAAAAGGCCTCAGTGTGACGTTACTTGAAAACGAGAAGATCCCTCCTCTGCTTGGGCAGTGACTTAAAAAGGGTAAGAGAAACAGAGTGTAACAGTTGAATATATTTTTCATACTCCATTAAAAACTCAAGGAACACCACAGTGCACTTGCACTGATTTTCATTCTCCCGCAGAAATCACAACACACACAAAAAACCTGCTGCAACAGAGCAGATTCCCCCTGCTCTCCAGGTAACACAGAGATGCTGCTCCTTCAAGTGCATCTTGACATGAAATACCTCACACAATACTGGGCACTGTTCATCTTCCAGCAGCCCAAACAAACCGCATTTTGCAGACTTCCTTCAGCAGTTCGAGCAACAGAGAGAGGTTAAGAAATATCTGAACGCTCTTTCCCCTCTCCAGGCCCTGCAAGAGTGGAAACAACTCCCCGAGCTCAGGACACATTGCAAGGGGGGGTGGGGGAAGAGAAATGGCTTTCAAAGTTAGGGCTGCAATGATTTCAACATGTTAAGCAGCAGATGTTCCAGCGATTGGCAAATCTCTGCAGAGACCAGGCATTACCAGGGAACAGGAGTTTCAAAGCTCCCATCTCGTGTTTCTTTAACTGGAAGAACAGATCCTTAATAGCAAAACCCTCCCACACTGTCCCACCTTTCTTCCCAGGTGGAAATCAAGGGGAGAGAAAGGGGAGAAGGCAAACAAAAGAGACTTCAATTACATCTTTCCCTTTTTTCCAGAGAACGACAATATATCCTTTTATTGTCTGGCATAGCAGGAATTCTCCCGAATTTTTAACAGCAATTTCTCCTCCATGGCAGATGTAATTCTGCCTTCAGAGAGTTGTTCTTGACTGTGTTCAGAGCTGAAGACCTGAAGCACTTCTGCTTATTTAATTAAAGTTTCAACATCCATATGAAACTGCGAGCAGGTTAAGAGGAAAAAAACATGGCCTGAATTTAGACCAACAAATCTCAGCTGGCCTCATTTGAGAAAATCCTAAAATACTAGAAGAATAAAATTACTGAAAAAAATTAAGAGTCGAGAGGAATAAAAACCTCAGGTGTTCAGCACAGGCAACAATTAAATCAGTGCACACCAGAAGTAAGAGCTGGGAGGGTTATTTTAGAAGAAGCAAACCAAAAAGTCTCAGATACCTTCTTGAAGAGGCGTCCCGAGTCCTCGCTGACCTGCACGAAGCGGGGGATGATGTTGTTGAGATAGATGTCACTGAGGGTGGTGTGATCCCTGCTCTCCCTCTTCACCTGATTGAGCAGCAAGTTCCAGCAATTCACCGGCGACAGCACGTTCTGATCCTTCCTGGAAAGGGCACAAAACAGAAACAGTTGGGTAGGGACTCACCTGATTGTGTTCCTGATGTTCTGTGTCTATAAAAGCTGGAAGTCCAGCCACGGGATGGATGGATTTGCCCATTTGCCACGGGCTTTTGTCCCCCAACAAACAGCTCCTGCAAATGCAGGCTGCAGTGTGCCAAATGCAGGCTTTCATTTCTCCTCCTGAATCCAGGATTTTGTGCATAAATCAGGGCCTGAGGGAGAGCGGTGGCTCCAGTGTCTGACAAAGGGTTTCAGAGTCCTGTCTCGAGCATTTGTGTCTCGACCACAATAAAAAGATTTCAAGCACCCAGCTGGCTAAATAGCATCTGCATAGGAAACAAAATGTTGTGTTTCATGTACAGACCCAATTATGGGAAAGTATCTCTATCTGTCCTGAGCCAAAGAGACAGGAACACTCGTGCAAGCAGCTTTATTTTCTCATCTTTGAACCCTCTCCACCTTATTAGGGCTGATGCACCCTGCAAATAAGCAGCACAAAGGGAGATGAGAGGAACCTCAGTTTACCTGGATCAGCATTTCATCTGCTGAAAGGAGTTAAGTCATTTTTTGGGGCACCATTTCATCCCAGATAAAAGCAGGGAGGCGAGCAGGGATCGTGTGAGGTGCTCCAGCACTGCTCGGAACTGGCAGATCCAGGTGCAGCCTTAACAGCATCATTTACTTCTCCCTAGGTCTGTTTATCATTCATCTACAGTACAATGATATTTATTTAGAGAAGACCAAGTCAGATCTGTGGTGCAAAGCCAAAGCTCCCCTTGATTGTTGTGTGTGACTGTATCGGATTTCTTTCCTCTTAAAAGAAATGGGGTTTTATTTCCATTGAAAAGGGAATATTCTGCACTTGAAAGGACAGCAATCTCTGCTGCAAGAAATGTCTGACATCGGGAAAATGGGAAAACTGAGCCAGGGCAGACTTTCATTACCCTTCTCATGACATCAGCAGTTGGATTTGTAGTGCAATATGGATAATTTTAGATAAAGAAGAACAGTTCAGAAGGGTTGAGCTTAAAGATTTTTTTCTAAAAAAAAAAAAAAAAGCTCAGGAATGACTGCAGCCTGTGATTCTCAACTGCTTCAATGTTTGGAGTGTGTGTGTGTGTAGTGGGAGGGGATATAAAAAGGACTCTGGGTTTTTTGAGTAAAAAAAAAAAAAATTTAAAAATAAACCATGAGAAGGCACAGATTTAATTTAGAGACAGTATTTTCCGTCTTACTCCAGTGTCCTGAACTGCAGGTACAAACCCAGATGGAATGATCCAAGTGCAGAACTGTACAAGGTTCAAACTGCCAGACGTTGAGCCCTGTAAATCAAATAGCTGCCCCTCATCTGCAGCCAGTGTTTGCAGCATAATGCTTGTTCTCTTAATGTGCCACAGAGCTAATTAGTGACTGTGAGACCCGGGTAATAGAATTGGGAATCTCTGGGTGCTGACCAGGCTGCAGCCAAAGTGATGAGCAAAGCAGAGCAGGAGCCATGTGCTCCGAGCCTGCTGAGACAGAGATAAGAGCTGCCACCACAAGAGACGGTAATAAACACATTAAGGGTTTTTTCTTCCATTAAAAAGAGGGCAGGAGGAGAAAAAGCATCTCCAGGAGGAACTTCTCCAAGGAGCAGCGCTGGGTCAGAGGCGCACGGGCCAAATGAAGAGCCACCAACCCTGCCAATAAACTGTGGTTCAGGCAGAAGAAAGGATGTAAAGAGAAGTTTATGAAGGACAGGACTAAAAGATATTAAAAGTTGGCTGGTTTGCTCCTTTACACCCATGATATCAAAGCACTTTACCCACTGGCTCAGTATTTGCCCTCTAAAGCAGGCGGAGCTACAAGTGAAAAATCAACCAACGACCATAAAGAGTTTGGGAATGAAACTCGGGAACAAAAAAGCTCAGACTCTCCACCAGCTGACCTTGTTTTAGCTGTTCAAAATCCTGCCCAAAATCCCTCCTAGCCCATCCCTATGGACTGTCAGTCCAAACCCCACCACGAGCAGCTTGGAAGAGCTGGGAGCCTCAAGGACCACGAGTTATGACCATGGAAGAGAACACATGGAAAGGAGCAGGGAGCAGGTACAAGTGCCTCGCTTCCCAAAGCAAACTGAAGCACCAAGGGGAACCAGAAGGGATGCAATAGTTAACTGGACAATTCCCAGCTGTCCAGGCTGCCCTGCCACAACACCCCGAGCTATTCTAGGGCAGCACATAGCAGGAATACCAGGAACCCATGGAAAGCCTGGTGAGTAAAATCACTGGTGTCTAATGGCGCCAGATGGGTTGTTGACACACTCCATGTGGTTACACATGAAAGGCCATCCTGCAGGAAAAAAATAATCCCAACCCCACATGCTTCCAATCCGCGGCCGGGATTGTCACCTTGGGATGCGCGGCGAGCGCCGCACCCCGAGCTCAACCTCGGGCAGCCACAGCTCTGCACACTGCGAGGGTTTTCATTTAAACTCCTTTAATTTCTCGGTGTCTGATGGTTTCACTAACCCCTTCAGTGCCTCGCTGAAATGGTCCCTTGCTTTCGAACAGGTTCAGTGTCTCTGACGAAGGGTTTTACACGAAGGGCGACAAAACCTCTCGGTTATTTGTTAGCGACGCTTTTCCCAGCAAAAAGCAGAGGAAGGCAGGAACGAAACAGAAAAAAGGAAAGGAAAGAGGCAGTGACTTGCTTCAAACCTTCCGAGAAGCCTTTAAAACTCCACACAGTTTTAGAGCACCTCTAAAACTGCAGCATTTCCTGGGGTGGAACATGGCCACAGTTTTCACAACACAGAGCAGAAGTTCTACAACTGTTTACAGCAAACCCTCTTCAATCGTAACCACGAGCAGATGGCAGGGAGGCAAATTGTGATTTTCATTAACCATTTCAATCCTCAAAGGAGCTGGCAAACGCACTCTGCTTCCAGTTTCATGTCACCACAGAGGAGGGGTGAAAAAGGGAAGGAAAATACGCAATAGGGACCCGCTGGGTGTAACGAAGAACAAGCTCCATTTCCACACATTCTGTAGGATGACGGAGTTAAGTGCTCACCCTAAAGTGACAAAAACCGATGAGATCGACCCCCAAACTTTAGGACTTGGCTATGAATTTTCCCAAAGTGCTGGCCTCTCCACATTCACAACAACTGTTGGAGTCAAACTTCCCCCCACCACTCTGTGAGGGGGACGAGGAGAAGAAAGAGGAGGAGGAAAATGCCAAGATCCAGGTTTATTTCAAGCACTATTTATACTCACATAAAGATAGTGTGATGATAGCGAATCTGGAGAGTTTATTTAGGTTAGCCTAAATTACACCAGATCACAGCAATCGGGGGTGTTTGGGAGCAGGAAGAGGAAGTTGTGCACGGATTTTTAGGGAACCACAAAGTATGAAGCTCCGCGGTTTGTCGGGCATTATCTTGATCGGGTCCTGTGCAACTTCCACTTCAAAGGTTTCAGCGGGTCTCAAAAGATCAGAAGGGAAGATTGAGCCTCGAGTATCTGAAATCTCTTAATTAAATTACTCATTCATACAAGGAACTCGCAGCCAATCCAAGATTGGTCTGCTTTAAGGCAAGCAGGAGAGAGGGACAGACGACAGTGACACAGAGTTGGGCACTGCAAAGTAATAGCAGAAAAGTTACCTTACAAAATAAACTCCTCTCCCCACTAGATTAAAATAAATAAAAAAAAAACAGATAAAAGAATAATTAATTAATTAAAAAATTTAAAAAAGTCAAACCCCACTCTACAAGCCAGGAATAGGAATATTGGGTTTCCATAAATAGCACCAGACAAGGTAATGATGACTCACATGAGAATGAAAATATTACTTAATAAACACTTACATGAATGAACACAGAATCACAGAATGGTTTGGGTTGGAAGGGACCTTAAAGCTCATCCAGTCCCACCTTCCACCAGCCCAGGTTGCTCCAAGCCCCGTCCAACCTGGCCTTGGACACTCCCAGGGATCCAGGGGCAGCCACAGCTTCTCTGGGCAACCTGTGCCAGGGCCTGCCCACCCTCACAGGGAAGGATTTCTTCTGTACATCCAACACAAACTTCCCCTCTTTCCATTTGAACCTGTTCCCCCATCAGTTCCTCATGAAGGTTCTCCTCTCCAAGGGACATCTCACTGTCCATGTGAACAGAAAACTTTCCCCACCATCCTTCCTGTGAATGATGTTTTTAAAACAAGTCTCCTGGTGGTACACACAACACCTGAATTTTCCTGTTCCACCTCCCCAAAATTTCCAGGACCTGTTCCCTAGGGGTGTTCAATGGACACTTCCAGACCTGGCACATCCCTAAACAATCCACCCTGCAAACCATCGGAGCTGGAGGCAGGCCAAGGGTTAGAGCAGAGATTTAATTGTTGCTGTAAACACTATTTCAAACCTCTCTGAAATTTGTGCTCTGGCAACAGTGGCTGCAATCACACCAACCAACACAGGGTGAGACTGGGATGATCACTGATGTGATGCAAAACAGCCCAGAAATCCCCCCTGAGGCTTTGCATCCATTTTTGCTGGTCACGTATCCCTGGTTCTCCACATTCAAGGAGGTCACTGAATAAAAATGAATGTTTCATGCTTAGAAAAACCTTCCAAACGCTGGTACTTGACAGACTCAGGCAAAGATGTGCAGGACTCAGTTTCATCAAAAAGAATCACAGGTCAAAACAGCCTACAACAATGTTTTTTTATTATTATTATCATCATTATCATTATTATCACAATAAACATTATCATAATGATGATAATGTAACTGAAGCCCACATGACCCAAATGCTTCTGTCAATACCTCCCTCACAGCCTGTATCATCTTTGCTTTAAAGAAATCATTTGGCTTTTAGGAAAATTGAACTTCTCTGCAAGCTGCTCATTCAAACCAAGCTTTGATTTTCCCTGACGCAGCTCAGCGTTGACTGCAAATTTTGAGAATTACAAGCATGGACATCCATGCTGCTCCCTGCCCTTCTCTTCCAAAAGATTCCAGTTATGAACATCTGTTGTTTACAAGTGCTCAGCCTGAAGGTTGCCAGACTTATTTTGCATCTTCTACTTCAAGGCAAAGGCTGCCAGAAAGCCATCTGAATTTCATGCTGGGATATCCTGGACATTCAGCTCTCCAGCTGACAATTGCTACTCAGTGTCCTGCTTCCAAAGATTATCTTGATTTAAAATATGGCCTTAAAATAGCACTGGCTTTTCATTTTTTTCCCCCCCTTTTTCTATTTTTTTTTTTTTTCTTTCCCATTTTCTCTCTTGAAAGGAATCACTCAAGATTCGCCACGGGGTTTATACTTTTTTAATAGTCAAATGGCTCTAGGGCAAAAATCCCATGAAACAGGAGGACTGAAGCCTGGAGCTGAAGGTCCCAGGGTCTCACTGGAGTGGGACAGAGCCTTTCTCTGGGGCTGGAAGTCAAAAGAGATCCCCAGACCCGAGAGACATCTGTGAGGTGGATGCTCTGATTTACCTGCTACACATCTCAGACAGGCAGATCTCTGAGGAGCAATGACTACACCAAAGCTGTGACCACCAAGCTCTTGTAACAATCAATCAGAGTTAGAAGACTTGGGCTATAAAATGCCTTTTTTTTTTTTCCTCCACTCCTTGTGCCACTGTTATTTACCAGCGGGTTCTGAGGAATATATATAATATATATACCAAATATATACACTGTGTATGACTCTTAAATAGCCTGCTCTAACTGAAAAAAAACAGTTTTAAAAGAGAACAGGCAAAGTGAGGTCTAACAGCCACGGCCGGGAGTTAAAAGCAAGTAAAACCTGGGATGTATCCAACTGCCATCAACTCGTATGTCACCCTGGCTAAATCAATCTGTTCCCCTTCTTCAAAGACCTCAGGTGAGAATAACACACACCTACCTCTGTAAATCATTTTAAGGTGCCCCAGTGAAGCTGCAGGCTGAGCACTCTGCAAACACCCCTTCAGTCCAGCCCCAGCTACGCAGAGTCTGCTGTCAAGACCCAACAGCCTACACTTCAGAATCCATATGGAAAACACTCCTACAAGGACAGGCTGAGAGAAACTGGATTTGTTCAGCCTGGAGAAGAGAAGCTTCAGGGTGACCTAACTGTGCCCTTCCCATACCTGAAGGAGCTGACAAGAAAGATGGAGAAGGACTATTTACAAGGGAGTGGAGTGACAGGACAAGGGGGAATGGCTTCAAACTGACAGAGAGAAGGTTTAGATTGGATATGAGGAAGAAACTCTTCCCTGGGAGGGTGGGCAGGCCCTGGCACAGGTTGCCCAGAGAAGCTGTGGCTGCCCCATCCCTGGGAGTGTCCAAGGCCAGGTTGGACGGGGCTTGGAGCAACCTGGGCTAGAGGAAGGTGTCCCTTGTCCACAGGAAGGGGTTGGAACGAGATGATCTTCAAGGTCCCTTCTATGAAAACGTACCCACCTGACCAGCTCCCCCTCTGAGGCAGAAAAAACAAACCCCGTGCAAAGCCCTTGTGAGAACCTGCCCTTTAAACCCTGCTCTTCCCTCGAAGCCTGTGCTTTCTGCAGCTCGCAGGAGGCTGCTGGAGGGAGCCACACAATCCAATTTCAAGGGTCAGCCTGAAGCCTCCTGCCCTTGACAGCATTCCCTTCAACGAACACAGTCGGAGCAACTTGGCAATTACATAATAGCTGCTGAGCATGAAAGCACATGCAAATTACAGGGTGAGTGCCCGACAGATTTCCTCCTTGAGTGTGTGTTATGGGATCTAAGAACGGCGAGTGACACGGGGAGCAGGCCCTGAATGATACGGTACCTTCCGACATAATTACCAGGTTATGGGAAGAGCAGCCTATTACTGGGTATTTATAGGGTCAGAGCCAGGCAATTACAGCCCAGGCCCCTGCCTGTGCTCCTCTCCCAGACATGTAATCCCAGGCTCCCGAGGAGGAGAGAGATCTGATGGCTGCCTTTGATCAAACGGGCTTTTGGGGGCTTCCCAAGGAGATTACAGCTTCAGCATCTACAGAGGAGATACCAGCCAAGATAGTCTCCGCAGCTCAGACAGAGCAGTGGTGGGGGAGAGGTAATTATAACTGGAATCGCTTCCTTACTGATCCCTGTGGCATTCTGACACAATCCTGACTGTCGCAGACAGCAGACAAGTGACCAAACAAGTCCTAGATGGAGGTACCCAGGATAGACAGCTTGACCTGTGCCACTGCTGTGGCCAGCACTGCCCACAGAATTGGGTTTTTTCTCTTAGTCCAACTCTTGACCAACTTAAAAATTTTTCAACCCTGCAGTATCACAGCCAGCATGAAGTATATTAATTCACACGGAGTCTGTTTGACTGTGGTCGAAACTTCCACATTATGCATTCACTCTAAATCTCCAGATAGGAACTTTCCCAACACTGAAAGCTGAATACAAAAGCATTTCTATGGGATGTTTCATACCGTCTAATATAAAGGAAACCACCTCAATTTTTACCTGGAACAACAACGAAATCAACTGGAAAGACCGATCATAATGCAAAGGAAAATTACAGTTCAAGGCATAATTTCTTTAGTGCCATCTTAAAGGCATGTGCAGAATACCCACAAGCTTATAGTTCTAACAACATTTGCACTGTAGAGGAAAAGAAAAAACACTTCAGACACTGACAGGTCTATAGATAAGCAGAATAACTCTTCTCCAGCCTGTCAAACAGCTCTGCTGGGGAGTCAGGCTTCCCCAACACCACAGCACAATGTGTGTTTTAAAGGAGAACTTAATGAAATTACATCAAAGCCGTAGAGAAAGCAAACTAAAATGGTGCCTCCTTAATGGCTTCCACAAGAGGAGCTGCTGGTGGAGACAGAAAGCTGCTGCATCCCCACATCCCTCCGAGCACAGCAACAACCAAACACAAAACACGGGCAACAGCCCGACCCAAACAGCGCTCAAAGTGACGCTGCGCTTTGGGCGGGGGACAGACCCAGATGGATCCTCTCAGCCCGATCTGTCCAAAGCAGAAATGATTCAGGTCCCAAGGCTGCTTCAGCTCCGTGTTTTCCCCAGCTGCTGCCCTGACAACAAAACCCAACAAGCCCCTGCTCTGCCCAGATGTCAACTCCGGGAGCTCCGTGCCGGCCACCTCCTCGCTGCGCTGGTGTCTCTGCACCAGCCCCTTCCCCGTCCACAGGTCCTCTCCTGCATCCCCCCCTTTCCTGGGAAAAGCACCTCCTGGCAGGAGTCAGCAGTAAATCAGAGAGACTTGAATCCATGAAACCACATTCCACACGTGTTAGTCATCCCAACTCAGATAAGTGGGGAAGAACCAAGAATCAGGAACAACCCCAGCAGTACGGTCAGACCCACTTGGAAATAACGCTTCCAGCAGGGGAAAAACTGACTGTCATTAAGGACATCTTTAAATTTTAACTGAGTGCCATCCACCTAGGGATTCCCCTGCCCCCAGTGGCACAGCTCTGTTGGACTCTGAAGTACTACTGGCCTCATTTCTCTACTGTTTGAAGTGATAGTAGCAGAGATACGACACTCAACTCCTACACTGAGTATGTGTGGGATATTGAAAACAGAGAGCTGACAGCATAAAACAGATTGGAAACAGCCACCCACAAAAGAAAAAAAAAAAAAAAAGCAGACCAAAGCCACTGGCACTGAAGGAAATGCTGGCTTTGTCCACCAAATGTGGTGCACAGCTTTGCCCACCTTTGCCAAGAAAATTAATCCCTTTAGACATGCCAGTTTTTCCCATTTCATTCCCTACTGACAGCGTTTGACCCACACCAGGAATAACTGAAATAAGCATCCAGAAACATGGAATGGCTTCTGTGTTCAACCCAAACCTGGGAAGCATTTGACTCTGACATTCACAGCACTGCTGGTACCTACATTCACTAGGTCAGCTCTCTCTCCCATTCCTATCCTCGCAATCAAATCTCCAGGGGCGGGGAGTGGGGAGAAAAAAAAAAAAAGGGCAAAAACAAAAGGCAAATACTCTACTTGAATTGCTGGTCTTTGGTGCTCCTAGTTTTAGCCAGGAATCTCTCAGCCAACTTCTCCAAATTCCTTGAGTAATCCATCTCAATCTCTGCCTTCTTGCGGAAGAAATCCTGCAAGTCCTGCAGTAACTGGACCCGAAGCTCACACTGTTGGTCAAGGCATTTCAGCTGCTCTACCAATTGGGCACGGATCTCTGCAACAAATAAAAGCACTGAAGATTAAACAAAATCCCAACAGAGAAAAAAAAACCACCACCAAAAAATAAAAACCCACCATCAAAATTCTCCAAGAAAATATAGTTTAAAATATGTTCCCTCATTAGAAACATGTCAGCAAAGCTCCATCACGATGATTGACTCTACCTGCAGACAGGAAATGATGGCAATTTTATCTTGGAAATTCACCAAAAAACCTGCAATTCGGTGCACAGACCTACCAGCAAAGCTTCACTGCTGGAAAGTGCATCAGTTACGAGTGTCAAGTGCATTTTTGGCATCAAGAACAAGTGGTCACTGCCGAAAAATGTACTGAATCTCTGTCTGGAAAAAGGACTAAATGCTGCAATACCCCACGTCAGCTCCGAAAATCACTTCAGGGAATTTCTATCAAATTCCTCTGCAGACAATTCCTGATGCAGAAACAAGACTGTTGCACATTCTGGGGCACTCCCTGAAGGTACCAATTTTGGATTATTCAGTTAGTTACTGAGACTCCAGCTGTGCAGCTCTCGTTATAAACCAAGCCATGAAACGGAGAAAGAAACCCCTTCAGGGAGCCAACACGACAGCACTTCCCATCAGGGAATTATCTCCAGGAAGATGCTTTTTAAAATATCTGCAAGTATCACATCTATGTCTGAAGGACTCATAAAGCACATGGATATAAGTGTTAATATTATAATTAATAATATTAATTATTAATACTCATAATTTCAGCATAATTATTATTAATATATCTATATTAACACAATATTTCACAAACAGTTTTCAAACATTTCACAAATATGAAAACATCTCCCATTAGCCTCTTAAAGCCAGGTGTTCTCCTTATCCTACTGATCCTGAATTTGAGGGACAGAATAGTGAAATGACTCACTCAGGGTCAAACAGGGCAAGAAAACACAGCAGAAGCGTGTCAGTCTCAGTCTAAAAATGCAGAAATATTCAGTGATGCAGCCAGTAAAGGTTATTTGGCTTTTATACAGGCAATAAACTCAACATGAAACCAATAAAATATGCACTTTCATCTCAAGGTCTTTGAGCAGTCAAGCTGTAGAGAGGCCTGACTGTTAGTGCTGCTCCTTCCAAAGGTTTTCCAAGCTGTGCTGTTCCAAGCTGAGTTCAGAACCAGCAATAAAAGAAGCAAAACTCAGGTTTTCCAGCACTCACAGCTTTTCTTCACACCAACAACACGCTAAAACTGCAAAGTTTGTCACCACAGCTGAAGGTGGGGAGGGATCATTCCCCAAATGCAATTTTTTAATCAGCTCCTTCGTGGCTAATTCCTGAAATACATAATCTCAGAGGCCAGCTTGGCTCCTCGGTGTGCTTGTCCCTCTGCCCAGAAAAAAGCAAACCATCTGGACCTCCGTGGCTTCACTGCTGCCACGCTCTGTGAGCATCAGCTGCCCTGAACCGAGCTCACAGCTGCGAGAGCAATTTTAGGGGACCCATCTTTATTTTAGGGACTCCGAGATCCAAGACACGTGTATAAAATTACAGTTTCTAGTTGGACTTGCCAAAAAAAAAAAAAAAAAAAAGAAAATTAAAAGAAGATCACAATCTGTGCGAATGTGGGGTTTTCAAGCTTGATCAGCACTTTAATTTGGTAGTTCCACTTCTCTCGGACTGTACCCAGGGGCTTCCACAGCAAGGAGAAAACACAAGCAGCAAGGTCATGGCATAGAATGAAACAGAGGAGGGGGAAAAGCTGGTCAGGTTTATTTTTTTTTCCCCAGGAGAGAATTTTTAGGAAAGGGAAAACTTGGGTTTCTCCATCAGGAAACACAAGTACACACAAATACGTTGGCCTGAGTTGTCCATGCACTTCCTAAATCAAACCCATGGAAGCAGGACCACACCAGGCAAAACCTGCACACTGCATTCACTGCAACTCAGGAGATTTCTTTGGTTTTGAGATGCTTTTGTTGCTTCTTCCAGTACATCAGGACTAGCAGGGCCTGGGAGGGGCACGGGGAAAGAATGGGTATTTACACACACAGCAGACCTGCCAGAACTTCTGTGAAAATCTGCTGCTGATGCTCCACACACGCTCTACACATCTCCATTCGGTCACAAAACCACTCAAGGATTTGCAAAGGGACCCCTTTAGCCAGGTGAATGCATGAAGAAACAGGGTCAAAATTCAAGTGCAGCGAATACCTTGCTTGCCTGTGATGTATCTATTTACGCATTTAGGGTTTGCTGGTTTTCACAAGTCAGAGACCCCGTTAGCAGGATGAGCAGTAGGCACCATGTTGGAAAATAAAACTTTGGGGTAGGAATGGCAAAGTAATGTGGTACGACCACCCTCCCCTTCTCGGTGCCACAACTGATGGATCTTTTACCGGGGCGACAACCTGGCAAACCTGGACATTCTCCACCAGTGACACTCTCAGTCGAGAAAGCACCTTCAGGAGCAAAAGCAGAAATACAAAGGGCCACTTCCAGAAAACTAGCAGCTCAGGCTAGAAGATCATCTTAATTATAAAATCACGAGTAAGCCCAAGCCCCTTGGCTCTTGAGGTGGGACACTTTGCTCGCAGCTCCCGCCGAACAGCAGCAAGAACCAGGAGCTTTGCCTTCGGTACGAAACACAAACCTCAGCACTTTTCCTTTCTAAATAAACCCAGTGTTTTGGAGGGGAGCAGTGACAGCTGATCGGGCTCCCGCAGGGAACAATGAGCTATTCAGCTCCAGCTTTATCGGGTCCGTGGCGCTGGGCCGGGGAAGGGCAACCTTGCTCATCTTTCGCAAACACACCCCGCAAGCCCTTCGCCACAAAATAAAGTCAAGAATGCAGGAATTTCCTGAGGCTTACTGGGCTTTCTGGAGTATGAAGTGTCTGCTTGTTTTCCCACTGCTTACACAAGCAGGAGATGGTATTTTCCAGCCTTACTCCGAGCACATCCCGGTGCAGTCGGAGCGGCCCGTGCTCTCACCCCGCGGGTCACCGAGTTATACGGGACCTTTTCACGTCTGCAGTCACAACCACCACTTTAATTTCGAATCCGGTGCTTCTGCATCTTTTAATTTGCACAGGTTATTAGGTGAACAGCCACTTTAAACACTAAAAAAAGCCTTCCCCCTCCTTTCTCCTTTGGACCACGGCAATCCCACCCACTGTGATCGTTCAAGGCAAGGAACAGCCTCCTGAAGGCTCTGCTCCTGCTGCCAGTGCTTCCAGTGCCTGGAGGTGAATAACTCAAGGTCAAGATGCCTGTGGCAAAATTAGGATTAAACACCAGGTATTCTTATTCTAAACCTTGCCCTGTGTTGCTGAATCCTTTCTATTGTATTTCAAGCTCACACAGCTGACAACTACACGGTCCCTCGTAGCCACAGGAAAGTTTTCCATCTGTTTAAAACAAACCAGTTATTCATTTCCATCATAAAGTCACCTGGGTCACCGAGGGACAGACCACTGTTTAATCCCACACAGTTGTGTAACTTTACTTTTATCCCTTCTACAACCACCTTCTCAACATTCCCTGCAGGCATGTCTAGTTTTTAGTTAATTCAAAGGGTAAGGAAGGATCTTCTACTTTCTGTATTTTAGTCACATTTGTCATTCATTGACCAGGAAGACTGTGGCTCCCACAACCCTGGAAGTGTCCAAGGCCAGGTTGGACAGGGCTTGGAGCATCCTGGGCTAGTGGAAGGTGTCCCAGCCCATGGCTGGGGGGAGGAACAAGATGAGCTTTAAGGTCCCTTCCAACCCAAATCAGTCTGGGATTCCAGGATTCAACATTTATCATCTATTTGACCTTTTTTTTTCCCCTTTTAAAGTTTCAAAGCATTTAGACAAATGACACTTCATTATTGTGAAGGAACTGCCTCTGCATAAAATGCTGGTATTTAAGGGATGGTGTCTCTAATACTTCCATGGAAAGGTCATCACTAGCAGTTTCCATCATAGGCAAGTTCTACAGCATACAACATTCACCTTCTGAAAAAGAACTTACCAACATGATTTTCTTAAATTTTTTTTTAGGGCTTAATCATCCTATAAAGTAAAGCTGGAAGCATGGAAACAAATTTCTGTACTGACTTGTTCAATAGGACAGAAGGGCAACCCTCAGACCCAGCAGATCAACCTTGCCTGGTCATTCCATGCACTCTAAGCAATGGTCCTGCTCCAAGCAGGATCATCTCCCTCCCTAGGAAGGGTTTCAGCTCTTCCCCAGTAATAAAGTCTAACTGGATAGCAACCCAGTGAATCCTCTGACGGCACAGAGCACCAGGAGGAGGCACGAGCAGCCCCAGCTGCTTTTCAGTATCTCACTCCATCTCCCCGTATCTGCTCCGCAGCTTTCCCAAGATGTTCCCACCCCCCATCCCAAGTGCCATGCTGTATTAAAAAAAAAAAAAAAAACCATGACAAGCTTGGGAAAGGAGTGGGATGACAACAAAACAGAAGCACCAACCCCCAGCTCCCGCCCAGATTAAACAGCAAGGCTCTCACCCACACGGATCTGCTCCGACCAGCAGAGCTGAGCTCCAAACCCAGCCTTGCCTTGGTGGTCCCCCCATGCCATGGAAGCTCAAAACCAGCAGGAGCCAAGCCAAAATGCAAGGGAAAGCAGAATCCAGCCATGAATGGGAAGGTTCAAAACCCTGGTGTGTGGCTCAGTTATCCCTGACTATCCAGCACACAGAAGGAATCAGGTGGAAGGACTGGGAAACGTGTTAAATTGCACACACAGCTCTAACACAGTCTTATCTTTCGGCATATGAAAGATTAAAGCAGGCCAAAACTGGACCAAAAAAATCTCCATTTAACACTGAAGAGCGGAGCTGTGAATTTAAACCTTGTGCCTTGTCTGTGACAAGCTTCTGAATTCCCATCTTCTGGAAGCTGCCACACGCTCTGGCACCGAACATCAGAGAAAGGCAGTGGCACAGGCATCCACCTGCCTCTCTTTGCAGACTCCAGGGAAGTTAAATTAGAGATCACAGTTTAGTTTGATGCTAA